TATGTAAGATCTGTGTTGATTCTGTCATTCAAGGTTTATGGAGGCTTAACTGGTAACAACAGCTTAGGATAAACTTAAATGGTAAGTTTTTGACATTCGAAGCATTTCATAACTTGAAGGATTCAGGATTTTTTAAACCACGAATACAATATTAAACATTTTATAAAACGGGTGTATTTGTCCTCAGGTATAGTAAGTGCACTAGAATTGTATCTACCTTTAATTTAGGTAGCCTTTACAGTTATAAAGTGTCTTTCAAGCAAGTTGTATTGTCAGTCGATATATCCAAACTTGTTGAGGAAAAAGAAAAAATCATTTTTCAAAACATTTCTGAGAAATTCAATGAGATTTCTGATTAAACTTGAAATTTTATTCCGAAAGATACGTATATTATATATAAACAGTTTCCAATTATTCTACAGTATTATCAACAATATAAATTAATAGTAATTGACTTTTTTCAATATAAGAAAAACACGACATTCCTAATTAGTACACACAAGAAACAGATTCAATTAAAAGAAATTTAATTGGTAATTTCTGCTTGACTGCATTAAACAAATTTAATATTTATTATTCATTTACAATAATATTTTTCCAATTTATAAACCTAACAGATTCTTGTTACTTTTTTGCTACTGAACCTTGTTAATATTTGTACTTAATTTAATTAGATATAACATGAAAGTAATTAAAATAACGCCATATAAATTTTATGTGTCCAAAACGGTTTTCTTAATTTACCTTCATCAGGAACGCTCAGAGCCTATTATTTTGAAATCCAGGGATATAATAGAACTGATACTGTTGAAGAGCTTTATGACCAAGAAATATCAAAACATTATTGACAAATCCATCCAAGGTCAATTTTGTCTGAGGGAATTAATAATTTATTAATTTATAACAATTTAGGAAAATAATGTTATAAACCATGAACTACCGGAGTACTGACTACTGAGCTGATGATACCCTCGGGGACTGATAGTCCACTATCAGTGGTATCGACCTAGTGCAATGAAATAATGAAAATAACACTAAATAAATGTTATGCTTCACAAGCGCTGCTCTAGATTTACCGTGACCAGGAACGCTCCTGACTGTTACATACGATTTTTTTTTCGATAAACAAGAATTATCCTGTCAGCCTGTCCGTACTAGTATTTTGCCAGCGCAACTCCTGATGCTCCCTAACAGTTTAATGGATTTCAATAAAACTTTTCGCAAAGTTAGTGCACTATATGATGACATACAAGAACGGAACAAACTACTGTTCAATGATACAGAGTAATTACTTTAATCTGTGCGATTTCACACAGTCGAAAAAAGGGAACGATATCATTTTTATGTTGCTCATACTTCCTGTAGTTCTAATTAATATACAAAGTCTAAGATGATTAATATTTAAAGCCATTATACAAAAATGTGTGCAATTAACTTCTTGTTACTTCATCGCATAGCAATACAAACATCACTGCTTCAGTGCTTGTGTTTTATTCGTACTAGTTAATTATCATATATTTCCAACATTCTTAACAGCTGATTTAATTATTGCTATGAAAATATTAATGATAAATATATTTATTTCAAACTTCATTTAATTTCGTTTGTCTCATCAAATAAACGTTACAAATCATTGAGAGATATTATTTTATACACGAAGGTAAGATGTTTAGAATTTGAATTAACTTGTTATATTTTCATTTGATGTATGTATTCACTCAATCAATTGCTGAAGTAGAATGCAGATTATTAACTAGAACAGTGCTACGTCTTTCATGGTTAGTAAAAAAAATTTAAACAAAATGCTGTCATCTAAATTCTAAACTCTCCTTCTATTAAACTGTGTAAATATAAAGATAAGAAGATGTGGTATAATTGCCAATGAGACAACTCTTCAACCGAGACCAAATGACATAAAAGTTAACAACTATAGGTCAACGTACGGTCTTCAAAGTGTGCAAACATAAACCGCATAGTCATCTATAAAAGGCCCCGAAATGACAAATCTAAAACAATTCAAACGAGAACGGCCTGATTTATGTACAAAATAATGAACGAAAAACACAAATGATATACAGCAACAAACGACAACCACTGAATTACAGGCTCCTAACTTTGAACAGGCACATACAGAATGTGGTGGGTTTAAACTAGTTTGAAGGTACCAACCACCCCCCTAACCGTGGACAGTGATGTAAGTTTCGTTTGGGAAAGCATTTGAATTTTTATTAATATTTCAGGCGTAGAATAAGCACAGTTTAATCCTATAACAAAGTAAATTTTGGATTGTATATGTATCGCCTCATTGGTCTTGCAGTAGCTTGCTTGTCTCTAGTGCCGAAGATTGTGGGTTCGACAAACGAGGTCAAAATATAGACGTTCAATTAATATGTTCTACTCCCCTGCTAAACACGCAAAATTTAGGAATAGGAGCAAGACTTGTCCTTTTGAAGTTCAGTCAGATCGATATGTCTTCCTAAGGACTGTAATCATATAATGAAGCGCGTTCAAATTCCGGCTTGCCGTGTTGGTTTAGTACAAATTAAGTTTCATTATATTCATTTAACATTAACATATTCTAGTCCAGATATGGATGTTATATTTGCCACTAGAAATAAAACACTAATCCCTCACCATCTATTGTCTGTTCTGCATTAAGAATACTTACCATATAAACTATGTAGAAACTTTTTTAAAGCCTCTAGAAGCCTTTGCTGTAAAAAAGCCGAATTTTACGGAACACTGCTGTTATATTTTTCTTGAGATACCAAACATTCTAATTTTATGTACAACACTATGCAAGTTGATTTTGTCGAAATGCAATATCTGGTTGTAGCTTCTTTACGGACTGCTCTCTCTTATGAATTGAGAACACCCAGTGATCGATGTATACTCTAACACATGTATCTAAATTGACATCCCTCATGTGCTCGGTCGTAAACAACACGTAATAATCCGTAAATAATCCGTAAAAAAATCATAAACTTACCGAAACAAATCGTTGATAACACCTGTTACGGATCATTTACGGATTCTTGCGAGCAGTTTACGGAAGGTAACGAGTTGTTGCAAGCGGTTTAAGAGCGGTTTACGTTACTTACGGATTGTTACGAGGGTTTTATTTACGGAAAAATCAATCAGTGTAAAATTTTGTAAAGAAATTTGCCTCTCCTAAAACGGATCCTTAAGTGTGTCTATGAGTTGTTGCGAGTTGTGATAAGTTATTTTCGGATACAAGCGAGTTATTTACGAATACTGGCGGTTGACTACGAGTTGACAATCCGTAAGGGCTCGTAAGAAAAATCCGTGTATGTGAAAGAGGAATTAGATACACTATCTTAATCATAATCATTGCTGTTGATTTTATGTTCATCAGTCAATGTACGTGTCCTCGCTTGAGTAGTGCTTTTATCCTCAGAGTACTTTTTAACTCGAGTAGGTGAGATACAATGCATTTTATACATATAATGGAAATAAAAGAGCCGTCTTTTAATATAAATTTCAAACAATAACCTTAAACTTAAATCTTCAGAAAACAGTTCGTCTATCATGTTGTTCCTTCCTTTTTATTTGCAAGTCACATCATTTTGAGTAGAACTGATAAAGAAACGCTGTTTCCACTTTTCTCCCATCCTGAATGATAAGTATTAAGGTAGCACAATACAAAGATTTTATACCTCCAACTCCCCAGTTTTAAAATGCTGTAACTTTCTTTATAATGCTTGAAAATTTATAAAAGTGGTATTTATGGATCGCTAACAGATTACTCTTTCAAATTAATGCAATGTTAGTATTATACAACAATTATGTAATTAATTATAATTTTAACTGTGTCTACAAAATTTTACAAGAAATTTCCACTTTCAATTGAAATTAGCTTCTTCATGGATACCCCGAGAGGGTTGATTTTATAATATGTTGTTCCTAGAGCCATTATCTACAAAAGAGTGTCCCAGATTTTGGATAGAATGTATAGATCAAATTTTACACCTAATCAAATAATCTCTACTTTTATGTGGTAAGGATGTTTACACTAGTTACAGATTTATGAGAGAATGGAATACGATAGCGATAATTTGAGACACACTTTTGTAGCTCCTGCTGTGTTGATTAAGATAACGTTAAAATTTCTTGTGTTGTTATAGAGATGTCAGAGCTAAATTCATTCAAGTGAACTGACCAAGATTTTGCCATTAATTGCATAATAATTGATTACATAATGATTGCATAACAAAAATATTGCATTCATTTAAAAGATTAATCTTTTATCGATCTATATATACCTCTTTTATTAATTTGTATGCAGTCATAAGAAAGTAACATCATTTTAAAGGTTGGAGATTGGAAGTAAAAAAATCTTTGTATTGTGCTACCTTAATCTGATTAAGGATGTTCGCTACTCTGTTTCAAAATAACAAGCTTTTTAAAAGACTGTTATAAATTTATAGTATATAAATAAAGGAACCAAAAAAGCAGAAAAAAATGAAGGGTCTGTGTGCTTGTTTTTGAGATATAAGCCATTGAAAATTTGGCGGGAAATGATTCTCTCTAGATTTTTCATACTTTTAACATTGTCTGCTTTTCTCTTTTAAAAATTATGAAAAATAACAAGGATTTTATAAGATTTTCAAATATGGCTTTTAAAACTATATGAAATAAAATTATGAAAAGAAAAGTAGGGGTTAGTGGACAAAATTATTTAATGGCAAAACATGGATAAAACCAGAGGATTCCGAAAATCTGGCAAAAATTCAAAAACAAGAGGAGCGAACATCCTTAAAATACAGATCATGTGTCCAAACTTTGATTGTCTTAAAATTTAATCAATATTAAAAATGAGTGAAAGCTTTCACCAAGAATTTTGTCAACTAGATGGTTTAAAAATAATTGTAGAGCAGAATCTGTTGCTTTTTAATCAATGACATAAAGATGCAATTTGAATGCTTTATTATTTTAATCAAATATACTTGTAATAATGAAAAACATTATGAAAAGCTTGGTCCACATTTTAAAGATGCAAAAACCCTAATGTTAATTTACAATTCACCAGTCCATCTATTCGTTCAAATTTATTCTTTCCACCAGTACTACTACAAAATATGTACATATTTATTGGAATACAATAGAATTTCACAAAACTTTTCATCATCATATGGAAATGCACATGTCTTTTTTGACGATATTTTGGTTAGTTGTTGATTAGAGTTTACATCTCATTTTGTTTTCTTCAAACCCCCAGGGTACATCCACATATTTGTGAGCACCGCTTATCCTACTTTAAGGTTCAAAATGCAATGAATTTCTGCACAGCTGTTTATTATTTTGTGTCAATGTGCAAATGAACTTATCTTCCTTGACGACTTTGCGATATGTAGTTCAAGATAAACATTGACATTAAATGAACATTCTATGTCTCATTGGCAATTATACAATATCTTCTTATTTTTATATTAAATGTGTATTTTTTTTTTCAAACGAAATTATCTGATTATTTCCCCTTAAAGCAAACGTTATGAACTCTAATATATTTAGTTAAAAATGCAAGATAAGACAAATTTCGATTTTGAATTAAAGTCCTTTAAATGAATTGCAAATCTGCACTGAAATTTGCTAATTCTACAAATACATGAACCGGTCATCATGCATACAGATATCTTTTTTTAATTTACATAAAATCATGTAAAATAATTGCGGAATACACCATTTACTGTTTTTTACTTGAATACAAATCGTATCGTCGTGTGATTTCTCGATACACCAATGTTAATGTATTATACAGAAATACAAGACAATGAATTCATAAGAATTTTACCAACACAAGTCTTTAAAAACTTATAAAAGTAGTACAGCCAACAGCGTTATGAAAGTAATACAGCCAACAGCGTTATGAAAGTAATACAGCCAACAGCGCTCCATAACCTTATTATAAACGATACAGAGAAACTCTTCGTTGCTATAGTCTGTAGAGAAAATGGAAGATCGAAAAAGTTACATTACATTTCTTTTTAGTTTGGCTTATTGCTCCTTTAGAGTTACTTACACAAAAACTGACTTTACTAAATTATGAGGAAGAACGACACTTATCGTCAGATATAAGTTTAACGGTCACCATCACAAATTGGTTGATTGATAAGTTGTGTCAGTGTCTCACTTCATTAGCGACATGTTTCCGTGGTCATGAAACTTTAGATACAAATTAGAGTCGTCTATTCTGTAATTTTACCAATTGTAACCAATTCCCGATTGTGACATTTTGACTGAGTTTGTATTCCTGTGGTCGTTGGTTTTCGTCTGTCATTTTTGTTTTTTTGTTAATTGTATTGTTATAAATTTAGCTCTTAGTTTTCTCTTTTGGATTGTTTGATATTTTGAAATGTCGATGCCTTTTATCATGTTTACTATATATATGTTATATGTATTATATTTAGGATCCGACTTTTTTCTCTTCTACTGCATGCACAAATATTATATAAACGTTGTTTTACAAATGAAACTAACGTTTTTGTTTCAAATATTAATATGCTTGTTCTGTTTTTACAACAATAATGCTATACACTTATGCTTACTTTGACAGAATTGTCCACTATAACCACTACGACATATACAGATGTAGCTGTTGACTGAATTACGACAAGTAGCACCATTTGTACACACGTGGTTATCACAATATACATCTGGAAAGAGATATACAACGGAAAAAGAACGAAAAGTTTCTTGAAAAACTTCAAAATTTAATATATTAAATAAGTAGTGAATTGCATACATATATTACATACAGTCCCCACTGTATTTGAAAGAAAAACATTGTTTGTTCTCATCTGTGGCTACGTACCTATCATAATAAAAGTATTACCCTTAAGCCCTGTCAACAAACTTGACTGTATTGTATTGTTAAATGTGTCCTTCGAACTGAAGGATTGACTTCGATACGAAAAAAACAATGATCACTTGGATTTTTCTGAGGCAACATTCGTTTAGATGTGCAGGATGTGTGAAAGTAATAACTTTTATTGCTTATCTGCTATTTTAAACAATTTACTCGGATTACAGCGTTAGTCCGAGTATCCCTGTTAATAGTTACTAAATTTCCAGGAAAACAGCTCAGTAAAAAATAATCAATATTATACTAACCCTTCCTGAGCACCTGAGATCACCCCAAAAATTGGTTGGGTTCGTGTTGCTCAGTCTTTAGTTTTCTGTGTTTTGTTTACTGTTGTTTGTCTGTTGGTCTTTTATTTTTTAGTAATTGCGTTGTCAGTTTATTGTCGACTTATGAGTTTGAGTGTCCATTTGGTATTTGGCCTCTTTTTTATAAGTTATAACATTTAAATTCTTTTAAAGTACAGTGTATATAAGTATAGAATTCCATGGTATAAATCTTGTGTTTACGGAACACCAATTTGCTTTCCGAAATTGTGCTCATTTTCCCATATTCATTTCGATCATTGACACACTTACATTTTGTACTTCACCTTTTGTGCCGGATTGGTTAACCTGTTTATTAATTCACTGTACCAAAACTAGAGCAAACAAGCACGTGTTTAATGCATGCAGCTCTTTATAGTTAACAATTTATTGGATAAGATTAAACTATGTTGGTAAGTATTATATTCTATTCATTAGTCCATAATTTTGTTACAGGAACGAATGTATATAGAAATAAAATGTTTAGATAAAAGAAAATTATAGTAGAAAAAAACCAACATGTCATTTTCAAAATTACTTGATGTGGTTTTTTTTCGTTTGTTTACACACAGAACAAAACAACAACAAAAAAACATAGAAATGTATATCAACTTCGATAACATTTATCTACTGAGACATCATTCATATATTTCATTTACATATATTTTTGAATATTTCTTAACATGCGACTTATGTTTTTATATTCTTGTTTAAATATTTCATAAACATTAACCGGTTTGAAATTTATTATTTATTTATCAATATGGAGTTTATTTAATAGAACACAAATCTTATAACAATAATCTTTAAAGTAAGTACATTCTATTAAATTATGTTGATTAGTATCTGGTACCTCACACACTGAACACCAATTGGTGTTCTTGATTTTCCATGTCAAAAGATGTGTACCTACAGGTAACATATGATGTAATAATTTCCATCAATCATTTTTAATTTATTGTCCTCTAAGTAATTAAAAATAAAAATGTAATGTGTACTTTATATTTGGTAAATATTTTTATCTGTATTTAGTTCATTCAGCCATCTTGTAAACCCTATAAGACTTTCTTTACTAACATTTGATATAACTGTATAAATATATTTATTATTGAATTTTTGTAAATCTTATATAATTTCACCTTGCTTTAAGGAGAGTTGTTTTTACACTTAACAATAGTTTTTGTTGGGTCTCCTTTTTGCAATATGTTTTCCAAAGATTTGGTATACTCTATCTTATATGTAATATTTCAGCAATCCAATTTCTTTAGATTTCAACTCATTTAAGATTGTTTCTTTTGATATTCTACCTTTTCATCGATTATTTCATTTAAAAGATTATATTGTCTTTAATCCAATGATTAAAGATCAAACGATGCCCGTTTATCGTTAAAGACTTATTTAAGAAATATTTCATGCAAGCTATAGATTTTTTCGAAAATTTTCACATGGCCTGGGTCGTTGTATTCGAATTTTATTTCGAGCGTTAGCGAGAGATAAAATAAACGAATATAACGGCCCAGGCCATGTGAAAATGATAACAAATTTATGGTTTAAATGATCTATATCGATTCTAATAGGACAAATACGGTTATTTAAAAAACTGAAGCGAAGAAATATTGCCGTGTGTATGGCTGTTCTATTATACCCCCTGTAAGATAAAAGCTACAAATTTCAAATAATTTAAATCTAATGCTTACATGAATTATTTCTTAAATAATCACAAGAAAAAAAATATGTTCAATCCTTATAATTCTTAACCCAAACACTTTTGTTTCGTTGGCTACTATTTACTGTCAAATCCACAGTTGACATGATATAACTAAGGAGTGAGCCGCCATGTTGACCTGCTAAAATCCATGAATGTGCAAATGATGCAATAAAATATAAAATGAAACAACACCTACCTCAAAACTCCATGTTAATGCGATATCATCCGAATTTAGAGCGTACACGTAACGGAATATTCTTCAGCTTGAGAGTTTTCATTCGTATGACGGCATGTTTTGACACGACGTTAATGCGCCAAGATCATTCATGAAATTTCGCGGAATTTTATTTTATTTTGATTTTATACATTTTTTAAGATCTTATGCATTAATTCTTTTTGTTATGCATTAGAATAGGAATAAAGGTTCTTTAGTTTTCAATTTCAATTTGAACACAACGAAATCCATTCAAATAGTGTTTGCACAAAGGATACGATACATGCGGATTAACGTAGGAGGTAAATAGTAGTAGCCATTAATATGTTCATCTCTGAGTCTGTGCTAAGTATAGATCTATCGAGAATTTTATTACACTGTTGTTTACAAAGCGAAAGAATCACGTCATATTAGAATACCTCATAATATGTGTTGTCTGATGGTTCTAAAGTTTTCTGGTTTGTAAGTTTGACCGCTGCCATTTCTTACCCACGTTTTAGTTTGCACTTCAGTAAATATAGACAATGTAATTCCCCGTAGGAACTCCTTTTACGGCAAAAACTGTACAACTTTTAATATGAAGTTTCGTAAAAAATTATATCCTTGAATGGAAATTTCATATGCACTACTATTTTTTCAATGGTCAAAATATATGGCTGTGCGGCATATTTTCAACATTTATATGCCCCGAACTTCTTAGAGTTTAAACTTACACTAAAATTCTGTACTACCCCTTCCTTCTCTTTGGGTCTTCCTCAGATTTCTATTTCGCCGCTATTCATGTGTATTTATACTGGTAAAATTCCCAAATTATGTCTCTACGAGATGAAACATAGCGATCATATCTGGGAACCAGTAGGTAAACAAAACAAAATATCTATGAATACTATATATCTCCCCAAAAGAGGCATGGTTTGTGAAACAGCTGTATTTACAAAGTGCAACCTTTAAGTTTTTTCGAAGAAAAAATAAGGGATTTTGATTTTCTGGTAATCAATCAATTTTTCCAGATTCATAGTAAATATAAGAAAACTGGATCCCTACTGATTATAGTAAAATATTTGAATAATTTTCCAATTTGACTGTTCACCTTCCATTAATCTTTTCACCCATTTATATTTATTGAATCAATAAAAAACTAATCAATATCTTTCATTCCAAATGTTTTAAAGAGATTTGTTTTTTAAACCTAGCAATAATTTTTGTTGGGTCTACTTTTGCAATATGTTTTTCCAATGATTTGGTATACTCTTTCTTATTTGTAATATTTCAGCAATCTAATTTCTTTTACATTTTAACCCATTTAAGATTTTTTCTTTCGATATTCTACCTTTTTCATCAATTATGTCATTTACATAGATTATATTGTCTTTTATCCCATGATTTAAGATCAAACTATGCCCGTTTATCATTGTATATGTATTACCTCATATTATTTATTGTCTGGTGGTTCTAAAGTTTTCTGGTCTGCTAGTTTGACCGCCGCCATATCTTACCCACGTTTTAAGTATTTCAAAGTAGAAACAAGGGATTTTACATTTTTGGTAAATAATGGATTTTAAATTATCCAGATTCATGTTAAACATAAGAAATCCGTACTGATTATAGTAAAATGTTGGAATAATTTTCCAACTTGACTGTTCACCTTCCAAAAATCTTTCCACTCATTTATTTTTTTATTAAATCAAAAATCAATAACTATCATTCCAAGTCCGCCTCCAGTTTTTTTCATATTTATTGTATTTTTTTTTATTTTTTCTTGTTTATTGTTCCGAATGAAGTCATCAATCATTTTTTTAAAACTTATATAATGAGTCTTTAGATATAAGAAGATGTGGTATGAGTACCAATGAGACAACTCTCCATCCAAGTCACAATGTTGGAAACTGAAGCTAAATATGTAATCTTGGGTCTATAAACAGAGATTTCACAACTGTCGCTTTCCCAAGCATTGTTCACGTTGTTAACTTTCTTTTCTTCCATGAGTTAAGATTTTTTTCAGATTTTGTAAGTTGTTTTTCTATATTTAAATTCATACATTGAGATTTATTATGTCCAAAATAAATACCTAAGCTTTTAACAGTATCTTTGCTCCAGTTGATATTTTCAAAATTAACATGTATATTAAGCAATTGAGTGATTTCATCTTTAGAGCAGAGAAACATTGTAATATCATCGGCTAACTGATTTATTATACGGCTGTGTGTTTTTCTGTCTAACTTTATGTTTATTCCTTTAAGATTATTGTCAGTTCTTATTCTACAAGAATTTTCTAAGATTTCAACTATAAAGACAAACGAATTCCTCTTAACATTTTCAGATGTCTTGAAATCTATCCATTATTTGAAATATATGCCTTGATATCTGCATACAAGGTTTTGACCCATCTAAGCATGTAATTTTAATACCAAATTGTGTATACTAAGTGATTGATACATGAATTCTCACTCCAGATTTTAAGTATGTGAGTCCACTTTGATGAGTTACAGATCGAGTTTACATATGGTTCCGCTCCGTTGATTTTCGCTGAAATTACGGGCTTTGGATTTTGAATATTTTGTGAAAATAACAGTTATACGGACTTTTTTTCTTCACGCTTTCACGTATTGAGCTGATTTTTAGAACGTTTGGTTCCGCTCCACAGATTTGTGCCGAAATTATGGGCTTTGAGCTCTGAAAATTTCGTGAAAATAACAGTTATATGGACTTGTATTCTCAAATTTGCACTCCTAAAAATGGCTTCAAGCATTTTTTGTGAGCGGGGCCATCCGTGTCTTTCCGACACGTTTAATTTCTATCGTTTGATTGCTGGGTCATTGACGTTAACCATTCGTCTCCTTAAACTTATATTAAGATACGGGTTTATTTTAAGTTATTTAATAGATGTATCTAATGTTTGATTCTGGAACACGACAGAACAACTGCATTTATTACAAATTATGAACCAGAATAAAGGATTGTACATAAACAAAAAACGTCAGCGCTTTCATTATTGTGTCCTTGGCATCCTGTAAATTTGATTTAAGCAGACCAACTTGGAAAAAGAAAAGATATATACTTTATTCTCTTAAACCAATTGACAAAGGTACAGAGAGAGAAACATAATAATACGACATGCAATGCTTCAGATGATACATGGAGTCAAATTATACAAAATACAATACAAAAAGAAAGGGGAAAAAACCAACAACAACAAAAAACACAAACAAAAAATACATATGATATTTTATAAATTAAAAGATGGAAATAGATACGTTTAATCCCGCTGCAAATGTTTGCACCTGTCCTAAGTCAGGAATCTGATTACAGTAGTTGTCGTCTGTTTATGTAGTTCATACGTGTTTCTTGTTTCTCGTTTTTATATAGATTAGACAGTTGGTTTTTCCGTTTGAATGGTTTTACACTAGTAATTTGTTGGGGCCCTTTATAGCTTGCTGTTCGGTGTGAGCCAATGCTCCGTGTTGAAGGCCGTATCTTGACCAATAATGGTTTACTTTTATAAATTGTAACTTGGATGGAGAGTTGTCTCATTGGCACTCATACCACATCTTCCTATATCTATACACAATAAAATGTCAATTAACCCTGTGAATTGACTTTGTCATCCATTACTCTTAGAAATTTGCAGAGTCTTTTGAACGTGGAAATCCTTTTTGTTTTAAATAGACAGGAAAATTTAGCGGTGTTTGGTCTCATGTAATATGATGGAAGGAGATATTTCCTTTCAATTTCATTTCACAATGTAATGATACACACGTTCTATGACATCAAACTGAAATTATGTAAATGATGACTTTGTACTCACCAAAACTGAAACAAACATGGTGCCCATTCTGTGCTTCAACACATTTTGGTCTTTCCGGACATGGATTAGGCCAACACGAACTAGGTTATATAATTGAGATGAATTTACCTTGAATCATGGTATGCAAATGAACCATCGTATGCAAATGAACCATCGTATACAAATGAACCATCGTATGCAAATGAACCATCGTATGCAAATCGAATTTAAATGGTATTTTTGCATATACATGTGTCGTATGCTGAAGAAAATTATTTTTATTGCACATTCGGTAAAAACAAAAATAATAAAGAAGTTTGAACTAAAACAAAAAGCACAAGATAATACAATAGTGCAATAACTATACTCTGCAAAAAAAAAGAAACGCATAATGGATTTTAAAGAATTTTAATACATGTATTTTGAATGGAAATTTTACAATTATTAATAAAGATATTCACTCAAAACGTAATTGATTGAGAAGAGGACAGTCAATTCCTTCGAGATTGGTAAATAAAAGTCAATTTATCACAATTAGAGTTACTTCCGGTGCCATTAAAGTCAGTAATGTGTATGGCCATCTCTCGCTGCTAAGACTGCTACGCATCTCCTCGGCATGGATGCAATCAATGTTCTAATGTTGTAACGTGGAATTGCTCGCCATTTCTGTTGCAACATTTGTCGGAGCTGATCAAGGGTCTGAGGCGGGGGTTGACGTTAGCGCACACGTTTATCCAGCTGGTCCAATAGATGGTCAATAGGATTCAAGTCCGGTGATTTGGAATGCCAAGGTAGCACATTAATGTTGTTATGCTCAAGGCAGTTTATTGTTAAACGTGCTGTGTGAGGCCTAGCATTGGCCTGCTTGAAAAAACTTCCTCTGTCGGTCATTAAAATGCATAAGGTGAGGTTGGAGAATTTCGTCTCTGTACCTTTGAGCCGTTAAATTACCTAGAACATGTACCAATTCCGTTTTACGTTTATTAGAGATAGTCCCCCACATCATGACACTTCCTCTACCGAAGCTGTCTACTTCGTTCATTCATGCGCCGGTAGACACGAGTTCTTCCATCACGTTACTGAAGCATAAAACGGGACTCATCACTTAACCAGTGCGCCAGTTGCAGAATGTCCAGCCCCTCAATCTGTTGCACCATCGGACTCTAATCCGTCTGTGTAACGGCCTCAAAACGGGTCCAAATACGGCCTCCTGTGTCTAATGCCATGTTATCGATTGCGGACTGTTTGTGAGCTGATTCTTCTCAATCCTGGTATCCCAACTGCACTGGCT